ACATAAACTAGTTCGTAAGTTTTCATAAGCAATACAGTAATATTTTCAGTTACAAACAGAAAGTACCAGCTCGAGCAAGCCATGTGTGGAAAACTGGAGTACTGCGAGTACTATCTCGCTTGTTGAGTGTATGTATGTGTGAGTGTGTGTATGTGTGTTTCGATATAGAGAAATTAAGAGTCGAGCAGAGAGCACACATTGATATACGCCTAACATATACCAATGAAAGTTAATAAAAAGGTTTTAGAAAGCTTTCAAATACAATTAGCAAAAATAAAATAGAATTAAGGAAGGTTCTTGTTTGGTAACTGAAGAGCAAACAGTTATATATATATATATATAGCAGTTAAGTTAAGTTATATTAATTAGCAAAATATAGTTGAAAATAAGTTTGGCCCAGAGATAAACTCATTATAATTAGCAAAATATATATGTAATAAATTTAATTTAGAAACATAGACAACGCACAGTAAAAACTGGAGAATGTGTATAAGTGTGTGTGTGTGTGGCAGAGAGACAGACAGAGAAAGAGAGAAAATGTACGCAGAAGTATTAGTGTTAAGGTTTTGCCATTTAGCACTTTCCATTTAACGAGAGTTAAGTAAAAGAAGCAACAAGTTTTTTACGGTTTTTACAATAAAACGTTTATATAATTTTCAATATAATTTTTTTTGTTGTTTTGTTAATTTTTGCATTTTTGGTTTTTTTTGTATTAGTTTTTATTATTTTATAATAACGCATAGTTAATAAGACTAATTTTTGTGTGTATCTTTTTTATGTTTCTTCAAGAGCACATTGAACATATTCATTAAAGTGTTTGCTTGTATTGGTTGCTTTGTGTTCATGTTGTGTATAAGTCATATATATATATAAGTATATAGTTGTTTGTTAATTATTATAAAACAATTTGGTTTTGTTTAGTTTTCTCTTTGCTCAAAATACATGCATTAGTTAACTTAGATACACTGAAGTTTCTCGCTTTGTCACTTTTCGTTAATAAATTTTCTTTTTTTGTTTTGGTTCAAGTTCACTAGTTTTTAATGGAGCTAAAAGTTTTGTCAGGTGAAATCAAAATGAGAAATGCAAAAAATGAAAACGGCATCAGTTGCTGATGCATCATACATTAGTGAAATAAAATGTTGTTAGGTATCTTTTTTCTCAGTGTTTGTTTTCATGTTTCTCATGTGTCTTTTTATATAATGTGGTGTACTTTACAAAAAGTGTGCTTCTCTTATCTACAAAATATAAGTTTAAATTCTGTTATCAATTGTGGCCGTGCGCAAACTACGCTACTTGTTCTCTGTTCTGGTTTTTTTGGACGGTACTGTATTTAGTGGCTGCTAAAATATTGAACTACGTTTTAGGCTTGGCTCAAAATCGCAATTTGTGAAGACTATGTGGGAGCTGCACGAGCTCTCAAATGATTCATATCAAACAACCCGGTTAACTGCTCCATATAAATATAACTCCAATCAGTTGTATATAAGTTCGATGTTATCTTATTGTTTGTTGCACTGTTAACTCGATGTTAATGTTAAGTATTGTGTGTGAAGCAGATTTTATCTTTTAACTTGTGCAGTTGAATGTGAATTTGGAAGAAAGCAAAAACAAAATAAATAAATCAAATTATATTCAGTATTATATGTAATACTTGTTGTCTGAATGTTTGTTTCTCTTGCGCGTTTATAACATGCAGTGTTTGAGTAACTGTTGTCTCTTGTAATATTTTCGTTTTCAGAGATCTCTAAGATTTGTCATAGTTTGTTTTGACCAAATTGCTAAACAGCAACAATTCTACAATGTTAAACAAAAGGAAAATGAAACATACGACAGCTAGAGAACTGGACATACATGGATTATTGTTAATAAGTAACATACTTTTAGCAAGACATAGATATATCGATAGTTGGTATTATTATTTTTGTTTGGTTTTTTCGCTTGTCAGTTTTCCATTGTTTGACGCATTTGCTGCATGTTTTTAGTAAGCAAACTTTCTTATCAAGTATGTAGTATATATATATAGGTATATAAGTAGATAGTAAGCCTGCCACAAGTCAAGCAATAATAGTTATGTATATATATATATAAGGTATGCGTATTGTTTCAGATTTATTACAGCTAGTTTCTACCGTTAGAACGAAATAGTAGTTTGGTTAGCGTACTCAGTTTTGCTTGCCATTATATCTAAGAGCTAAACATAGAGAAATTTTACTAAATCTAAATTATTTTGTTTTTTGTTTTTAATTTTTTATTAGTATTTGCTTTTTTGTTTGGGCAATGAAATTAAGCAAAAAGATTGAAAGCATTTTACAGACAGTCAAGGCAGACAGAATGTGTTTTGGTGGATGGGGTTAAAGGTATTTGAAAGGTATTTGGCATAGGCTGAACGAAGCGAAAATTAGAAGGAGAAAGCTGGAAAAAAGAGTGCTGCTCTGCCCAAAAGCGCGGCATGTGAAAATGCTTAGCGTGTGGCATGTGGCATATGTGGCATGTGGCGTATGTGTCGATTGGGTGAATTTTTTCAAAAGAAAACGGAGCGTGTTCTGCTTAGAATTCGAATAGATATTTCTTGATAAATAAGTAATATATGTATATATATTTATATATATATAAATATATTTATGTATATATAAAATGTGTGGAAAGCGGCACAACAGAAAGAATAAATAAGTAAAAACAAGAGATAAGTGAATATACCAAAATAAATACCAACACACAATAAAGTAAGTTTTTGTTTCTGTTTTCGTAAGGTTCAAACTATATTTGAAATCAAACACACACGATATTTTTGTAAAAAATCAACATTAATCAATGAACTATCGACAACTAAATATTAGAATTAGTGGCAAACATTAAACTTGTCATTAAACATTAGAAATATTGTAAATTTAAACGAAATTTTACAGAGATTATATAAGTATATATGTATGAATAGGTTCAGTTAATAATAATAATCATAATAATAATAGTAATTAGAGTTCGAATTTATCAACTTCTGTGGCTAACAACTTAAAGTGCGCAAGTCTGTGGCAAATATTTTTTTGTATTCTTTTTTGTTTTGTTGTTTGTAAGTATTTTCCTAATTCTAAACAGGGATAAAACACATAAAAATATATAGACTACATTTAAAACTTGTATAATTGTCAGTACATAAATTATATAACGTAAACATTACATTGAAGAATTAAAAAAAAAAAAAACATAATAATTATGAAAAATCACACGAGATCTAAGATTAAAAACATAGTTCTGTTGTCATCGAATTTATTTTTTGATAAACATACATCATGTATACATAACGTGTATGTAAATTGTTTAAATATATGAAAGAAACAGGTATAATACATCGAGAGCAAGATATAGTTAGATAGATAGAGAGATAGATAGATAGAGAGAGAGAGAAATATATATAGGAAAAAACGAAAAGTTTACATAGTTTGTTTTTCTTTTTTCTCTTTTAATTGTCAACATAGGAGTCAAATCTTGAACATAACATTAACATAACATAACATAACATAATTTTGATGGCTTAACAGTTTCAAAAATGATTTCAGGTGTGAGAATGTTTTGGTGTGTGTGTATGTGTGTCTGGGTGTGTATCGCAAAGAGAGAGCGAGAGATTTGAATGTGATGATTGAATTAAGATATTGACTTTGAATTGGTTTATCGATTAGTAAGAGCGCTTTATAGCTAGCATGTACGATTATGAGTGTGTGTGTGTGTATGTGTGTAGGTGTGTGTGTCTGTGTGTGGGTGAATACATATGAAGACTAAACGATATACAGATCGAACTTCGTTATGTTCTAAAGAGTGTGGATCGGGTGTTCAGGTATGGGAATTTTCGGATCTTGTGAGTGTTTGTGCTAGAGTACATTGTGTTGATGTTCATATAACGTATATATATATATATATGTATGTATATATTAGCAGCATACAGCATTTATAGTATTTATGTATCATATAGGTATATATAATAGGTATAGTTCTATAACTAGGCAATATTCGTTACGCATGTTCGTTGCTCAACAATTTTAAACAATTAAAATTACAACAGCATTCACGAAAGCTAACTAACTAGCTAACTTTATATAATTAGAAGAGGCAGCTAGAGAGAACGACTGATTGAGCGAGAGAGAGAGAGAGAGAGAGACAGAGAGTGAGAGAGAGAGAGCAAGACAGCAAAGAGGTAGACAGAACTTGAAACAGTTTGTAACGTTAGCTCTATGGCATTAAAGCTTTCGCAGTCCAACAACAAGCGCAGACACAACTGTACCCAGCAGCAGCTTCTACTTGGTTTGTTTTTATGGCATATTTGATAGGAACGATTAACTGACTCGCATTCCAGGGTAAGGTGTGTGAAGTAAGCTTCTTTTTCTGTGTAAGAGTGCGTGCGTATGTATGTATGTGTGTGTGTGCAGGTGTGCAAAGCTATCACAGTACTTCGTTATACCAAGTTGCAGTTGCCGTTACCAATTCCATTTCCGTTTCCGTTTCCGTTTCTATTTATATTTTGGATGCTCACTTTAAGGCTATCAAAAAGGAACTTAACTTAAAAACTACGTGTTGAAAAAGGACTTCTCTTTTCTATGTATTTGTGCTTTAAAAGCTTCGTTCTTATGCAGACTATGCTATGCTATGAAAATGGCAACAGCTCAAGTCACAATGAGGTTATGTTTTGTTGCGTCTAATTCAAAATAATAAAATTGATATCATAATAAAAGCCTAAGGAAAGTGTAGCATACTCTAGAGCTGCGGTCTCGAGCATTCTGTGTGTGTAAATAAGCGGGGCAAGAGGATCGCTTAGAGGGCAAGCTTTTCAGCGTATTGCACTGTATGAAAGCTCATTGAAAGTACACGAAAGCCTTTAAGTCTATTTGGCTCGATGTCAATTGTATTGCAAAAGCTGTGGATGTTTAAGCTTTAAGCAGCTTTAAGCATATTAAGGAAACTTTCCTAAAGTGTGTGTGTCTGTGTGTGTGCGTATGTGTGTGAATTTCAGATTTGTCATGGTGCAATTTGTTTTGAATAAAAAAAGGACGCCTTTTGACACTCTAAATATAATGCTATGCTATTACGAGACCTAGTGTATAAATTAAGTTAAAACTGAGGCACATAATCTTACGTCTTCGATGTGTACTACATACTAAATAGTTACTACTACGAATAACTGGACCAACACGTTCATTAAGTACAGTTGCGTTCGAGTCTCTCTGTGTGTGTGATTAGCGACTGCTCGCTTAGGAGGTCTTCATCTTCTTATAGGGGTTCAGGACCATGGCAGTACCGGGTGCTGCGCCCTGGGCGGCTGCAGCTGCAGCGGCTGCTGCTGCGTATTGTTGAGCTGCGGCGGCTGCTTGGCTGCTGGGCATGGCATACGCATAGCCGCTGCCACCAGCTGTGGGCGTGGCGGCAGCCATGACGCCCGGATAGAAATAACCCTGGGCAGCAGCTGCAGCGGCATACTGCTGCGGACTGGCAGCCATTGGCATGGGCGCTCCAGCGTTCGGTGCACGCAGTAGGGCAGCCGAGGCGCCGGGCAAGTAGCCAGCGGCTGAGGGCGTACGCACCGGAGTGCCGGGTGCCACGGGCGTGGACAGACCTGAACTGGGCAAGGAGCCATATTGACGCAGCTGCGCCTGAGCCTGAGCTTGGGCCTGGGCTTGAGCTTGGGCCTGAGCCTGAGCTTGAGCTTGAGCCTGCACTTGAGCCTGTGCCTGCATTTGCAGCAGCGTTGCCATGGACACAGGCTGAGCCTGTTGCTGTTGCGGCTGTGGCACGGGCTGTGGTGGCGCCGCCGCCGAAACAAAACTCTTGTTGAGTGTCATGCCTGTGTAGGCGGCTGCCGAGGCAGCTGAAACGGGCTTGGCCGCTGCATTGGCCACCTTTATGGCGTAGTTCTTCTGGGCCACCTCTTTGGCCAATGCGGCGGGATCGGCATAGTAGCTAGTAGCGGGACTTAGACCAGCAGCTGCTGCATAGGCGGCATACGCCTGTTGCGCATAGGCTGCCTGAGCTTGGGCCTGGGCCTGAGCTTGGGCTTGAGCCTGGGCCTGCACCTGAGCAGCTTGTTGCTGTTGTTGCTGCTGTTGCTGGTGTTGTTGGTGCTGCTGCTGCTGCTGTGCCTGGACATAGCTGTTCTGCACCGAGCTGCTGGCCATGCTCACAATGGGCGTGGCATTCGAATAGCCGCTATACAAATTTGCATAGCTATAGGCGGGCATTGCGTAGCTGAGACGCTGATATTGCTGCACCGCCGGAGCTACCGAGGCTTGACAGCTGTTGCTGGTGCTGCCGCTGCTGTTGACATTGCCATTGGTGGTGGGCGTGGGCAGAATGCCGCTGCTATGGCCATTATGATAGCGCTGATAGGCATCGCTGCCATTCTGCTTAATCGCATAGCTGCGCTGAGGCGGCGCCTGGATGTAGGCGGGCGCAACGGAATTGGAATCAGCATCGACTGCTGCTGCTGCTGCTGCTGCTATTGCAGTTGTGCTGGCAGCAACTGTTGCTGCTGCAGTGTTATTGTCTGCATCGCTAGGCAGCTCATCGCCGTTCAATGATTTATTCAAATTGTTATTAATATATGACAAATAATTATTATTATCGCCATTGGCCAGGGTCAAGGGGTCATGTGCTGTCTCTGTGCTGGGGGGACTAGCGCTACCGTTTGTTGCTGGTGTGCCAGCTGTGTCAGTTGTTGCTGCTGTTGATTTTGTTGTATCATTAGCTGTATCAGTGTCTGCTGCTGTTGTTGTAATTGTTTGTGTTGTATTACAATCGTTAGCAGTGTTTGTTGTGGCTGTTGTTGTGTTGGTTTGTGCTGTTGTTGTTGTTGCTGTTGTGTCATTATTTTCTTGATCATGATTTGCATCAGAATCGTTAGCTAGCGCTTGGTTATCATGATTATTAATATGATTAGTAGCTGTTGTTGTTGTTGTTGTTGTTGTTGGTGGTGTTGTTGTTGGTGTTGGTGTGGATGTGGCTGTATTTGTGTTTGTATTGGTATTTGTATTGGTATTGGTAGTCATAGCAGTTACAGTTACAGCATTATTATTATTATTACTGGCTGTTGTTGCTGCTGTTGTTGTTGTAGTTGTTGTTATGGCGCTACATATTGGTTGTTGTTGTTGTTGATGTTGTTGTTGTTGTTGTGGGGGATACTCACATGACACTGGCACGTAGGGCTGCATTAATTGTTGATAGGTTGTCGCACCGGGTTGATACACTGGAATGCCAGACTTTTCGGCAGCTGGACGTTTAAACGGTACCATGCCAGAGAATTGCTAATAAGAAAGAGAGAGAACGAAAGAGCAGACAGGGAAGAGAACACAAAAGACAAAAATCAATTAGTACGAAATTGTCATCCAGCATCCATCGTCAGCTTAAGCTAATTGCACTCTAACCATACATATAGAATAATAATATATATATATATATATGTTTTAATATATATTGTTTTATATAAATAGCTTACAAACGAGCTCAACTGGGAATTTTCATTAGGTATTACAACTTTTTCTTTTCGATTTTACACTCAATTTTTTCTCAAACTTTTGCCAATGTTTATAAATAATAAATAATCATATATCCAATAATAAACCAAAAAACTATTCAAATCGAATCAAAAAACCAGGAGTAAGACCAAAAAAGCATTTAACTGAGTAGAAATTGTTCGTAAACGTATTGCGTGCATTGGTTCAAGAGCGAAAGCTTTTAATGTGCTTCGCATAAAAAAGCTACAAAAAGCTCTGCTCAGCCAGCGATTAAAGCAATTGTATGAAATGTGAAAAGTTATTCTGTGTGGAATATTGCCGCAGCAGAGGACAGCTGAATTCATAAAATCAAATTCGAATTTTTTGCTCTGACATTTAAATTGTCGAGATTAAGTAATTATATTCTTTAGCTGACCCATGCTGAAACCAATTTTGATCACCGAATTTGTGCAGATCTTTTTTTGTTGATTTTTTTTTCGTTTTTTTTTTTTTTATACATTTAATTTAGTTATTTTGTGTGAAATTTTGATTTCTGTTGAGTACATGCATTTAGGAAGCCAATTTTTTTTGTTTCTAGTATGCGTTAGGGTTTGTTTAAATAAGCTGTGTTCCTTCCGAGTCTCATGGAAAATGAGAACAAAAATTCAATTTAGTGACAAGAATAGATAATCTATCTATTAGAACTGACAGTTGGCTCGATTGCTAAACAAAACAACAATATATTCTGACATTTTTCACAGAAGTATATATTAATTGTTTGTTTCTAGTTGGAATATACTTTATTAACTCTATTGCTAAATATGAAACTGAAACTAATTTGGCTCTATCATCTCAAGATTCAGAGGTATTCTAACCATAATATTCAAGATATGGTTGTGGGATCTGTGTCATTGGATAACAATTGAAAATTTGTTTACATAAACAAATATATGTAATATTCTGCTGTGCTCCCTCTGCTTCTATCTTCTATGCCTTTTCAAAAATTGTCTTCAGCTGCTTTGTATTCTACTCTCTCTGTGGCCTTTAAGTCAGTAGATCTATAGATAATAAATTAATTAAAAAAGCCTTTAGTTCAAAGTGTCAAATATACTCAGCGTCTGGCAGCTTCTACATTTTAATGCTGGGCATGTAAAAAGTTATCGGAAAAGTTTAGTCTCCCTTAAGAAAACTATTATTACTATTACTATTTCTGAGCATAACTCCTCTCTTTAAACTTTAAGCTAGAACAAAAAGAAACTCCGTTATGTATTTTAGATATTTCTACAAACGATATAGAAATCGATTTCATTAAGCCATATCGTCTAATCGATAAGTGCATTTATTTGATTATTTTGCAACACTATACTGTGCATGTGCGCACTGGAAGAAACACAGCTTATGATGTAAGTATATCAAGTAGTTATATGTGGTTTGTTTATCATGTGGTGTATATGTACTGCAGTATTGTGGTAATACTGGATGGATAGTTGTTCATTTATTTGGTAAGTTACGTTTTCTTATTGGCTTTGGAGTACTTACGAAGTTTTCATAGTAAAATGAACCAACCGTTTTAACATCCATCTTTTTGGCAATTGTGCACATTTATGATAGTTATTATTATTATTGTTGTTGTTGTTGTTGTTATTATTGTAAAAATTGTGATGATATTTATCCATTATGAACGCAATTCGATATTAGTAATTGATTTTATTTATTCATTTTGAATGATTAATTTGAATGATTCGCATTGTTGATTGATGCATTTATTGTAGTTGGTTGTTTTTTTTTGTTTTTGATTTGGGTTAGCAGACATTTTTTTGTAGTTGCAGTTGTTGTTTGTTGTTGTTGATAATTGATTGTTTTTTGGATTTTTTGAATTGTTGGCAACAAGTAACATAGAGACACAGAAAACAAAGGAAAGTCGAATCGAAAAAACAAACGAAGAAGAGAGAGAACACAAATGAAATTAGTGAATATATTCAGCATAAATATACAAAATACAAAAATGTTCATCAAGAAGTATTAGCGATAAGTTAGATATGTATATATATATATATATATTTAGGTAAGTAAATACGTAGTCTAGCGTGATGCGAATGTGTGATAAGTTAACCTAAATAATATAATAATACATACAATTCATGATACATACAAAATACATACAATTAGGCCAAGACTTAAGTTTTAAGTTAAATTTTAGCAAAATGCGCAAAAGCCAAGCAAAGTTCGCATGTAAAGCTAATTAACCTGGAAAAGCACTTAGGCACTTAAACAATTAAGCTCGGATGGTGCTAGCTGCAGCTGTAAATAAAGAGCGGAAGAGCTGTCGAACCAATCGTATCAGCCTAGCCAAACAGTTCGTCATGCAGGCGATTGCGAGTGAGTTGTATTTCTTGTTGGGGGTTGGGTCAATTATCAGTTAAACCATTTTAATTAACACTTGCCCAGGTAACTGTGTGTGTGTGAAGGTGATTGTGATTTATCATATGCGCAACCCCTAATTGATGCCACATGCGGCACGCAACGCTGATTGCAAGTTGAAGCTGTCGCTGCCAGCTCAACAGGGCAACACATGCATCAGTATTGATAAATTGATTAGCAATATGCATTTGTCTCCATCAATGAGTTGGTGTATGTGCCTGTGTGTGTGTGCGTGTTTGCTCTTTTGATATGTCAGATAATTACTTGGTTTTGCAAATTAAATGCTCGCCGACTAACTGACTGAAAGACTTGACTGACTTGCTGCTTGTGTAAACGCTAATTGATGGCTCTTCATAGGGCATGTGAAATTTGCGACTAAATCAGTGAATAAGTGAATGAGTGAGTGAGTGCTAATGACTAGGTGAGTGAAGACTTGAATAGTTCAATGGAGTGCTTGCAGCGCTAATAAAATGCCAGTTATGTTACACTAAAAATTTGTTGCATACTTTTGGGTTGAATTAAAAGAAGAGAACTAGGTCCAAACTAATTTTTAAAAATTATATAATTTATATAAAATGTATGTATCTTAAGTAAGTCAAACTTTAAACAGGCCTAAAATGAGCATTTAAATGTGAATTGTTATTTAAAAAAATGAAAGGAAGAAAATTCAGATAAACATCTTTGTCACTCTAACGAATTCAAATAATTCATATCTTATTCAAAAAGTTTTTGAACTTGTTATTTATTATTTTTAGTTCTTAGAATTTGCTTTATTGAGTTTGAATTTTGTGAGAATTTGTAATTCAAAGTTTGATTCGTTATGTATGGTAATTCAACTTTGATGAAATTATTAATTATAAGATAATAACTTGTATTGGATTTTAACATGAATAAATTTAAGCTTTGATATCACTTTTAGAATTATAAACAGGTTTTTATTTTAGATAATTTGACTGTTTCAAAAATTTGAGGGATTATTAAATTGAAGTTACGAATGCTTGTTGCACCAGCAGAGCTTAACAGCTCAATTGAATAAACTTCTCTTCTTTTATATCTCTTAATAATTAAAATATTTTTGTAAATATTTTAAATGAGTTTGTTCATAGCTCTTTATAATTTAATTATATTTATAAAATATTTTAAATCCAGCACAAAAGTATCCAGCAAAAAGCTAAACAACCTTTTAGTTATTACTATATTTAAATCCAACTTTATTTTAGTTTAGTTTTTAGAGCTTTGGCTTAGGTTTTTTTGCAGCTTAAAATCATGCGATATAAAACAAAATACTCTTAACACAATCAACAAAAAAAGAAACGAATTCGCAGGAAATTAGACAATCAACAAAACAAAAATCAGAAATCAGAAATGGAACGAAAGGCAACAGAAACAGAAACAGAAATTTAAAAAAAATTAAGAAGAGATGTGAAAGAAATTAAACAAAATACCAGTGGAAACATTTCAGGATCCGCTGACCGCTTCTTGCCCACTTCCAGTGTGTGATGACCCATAACAGCGGCGGCAGCGGCGGCGGCGGCGGCAGCAGCAGCGGCAGCGGCAGCGTTGTTTGTGGTTGTTGTTGCTGTTGGTGTTGTTGTTGTTGCGCCAGCAGCGACGCCGCCGGCCGTGTGGATGGTGTTGTTGTTGTTGCTGTTGTTGCTGTTGTGGAGGTGGTTCTGCAGTTGCTGCTGATGCTGATTTAGTTGTTGGTGTGCCGCAAGAGGTGAGCTCTGTATTGCGTGTGTGTGTGTGCGAGTATTTGTGTGTGTGTGCGTGTGTGTGTCAGTTGAAGTGCATAATTTTGATCAAGTTGCATTTATTGAAATTAAAATCAAAATAATTATGCCAAAAATCAATTAAAAAAGTGTATAGAATATAATTTTGATCAAGCATTTAAATTATGCGTCCATTAAATATGGATAAATTCCATTTTAATTATTCAAGCAGCATTGGTGTTGGCATTTTTAATAAATATGCACAAATATATTTTTTTATTGCATTTTTTGAATAAATTAAACAAATATTTGATATTCGTTTTGTGCATTTTTTTGTTGTTGTGCGTGTGTGTGATTGAGTGTGTGTGTGTGTATGTGTGTATAGATATCATCCATCGTAGAAGCAATTACAGTGTGGCACAGGCGAACAGATGAAATACAAAATAGTAGAAGAGTACGAGTGTTTTTTTCATGATAAGTAAAAATTATAGTTAAAAAGAAAAAACAATAAAATCAAATAGAAATTCGTTTTTTGTTTTCAGAAATATAGTAGAATATATAGTTGTGGCTAACTTAAATTTGTGTTTCATTTAAAAAAAATCCTAAAATAAAACAACTAATTCTTTGAACAGTTCTATAAAAAATATATATATATAAATCCGTTTTGTTAAAGAAGCAAAGTTAATAAGAAGCTCAGAAGCATATTTATATTATTGTATTATATTTATAAATATAATTTATATTTTATAGCTTGCGTAAGCCAGCAGCAAAAGCTTCATTTGTTGTTCAAGAAACCCTCTTAAGTATAGTTTAATTAGATTTATAAATACTTAATTGTATGAGCTTAAGAATTACCTTAAAAATGATAACAACAATTGCAACAAAATCATTTTTATGTTTCGATTAATTCGTTTTTGCTGTAAGCCAATATTTTTATAAATGTTTTATATAATTCAATTGAATGGGAATTCATTTATGAATCGCTTGTTAACAAGAATTGATTTGACTACAAACACACACACATTTGCATTAAGTCGAACGGGAAAAGTAACCGATACCTACCGATGCATCGTTGCTGCTGCTGCTTCAACTAATTCTTAACTAAACTCCATAAATAAATATTAAGAAAACACAAAATTTCTGCAGCGTATTCGAGAAATTTCTTGTACTGTGCAAAGCCCAAGAGATCTCAAAGTTAATTCGTTTAACACCGTCATTTACCAAGCAGCAGCTAGACAACATTTGGTGCTCTGAAATGGGTCCGCTTTTGGGGTTGTTTTTTTCTAGTGGCTAATAAACAAAACACACAGAAAAATGTATAAAACATAACATAAGTTAACATAGTTTTTGGGGCTAACAAACACGCGCTGCCCAACACGGAAAGTGCAAAAAAATTTGCATTTAAATGGACTCGCAGTGGTAGAAGTTTTCACGAATTTGTTGTTTTTGCTTTGGAGTGTGTTCTGTGCTTTGCTCCTCATTTTTTTCTGTGGTCTTTTTTGCTAGGCACACGTAGCTCAGGTTGTGCCAGTTGCTATTTCAGCTGCCTTTGCCGAGAACTGTTTCATGTCACCGCCAATGAATGCTATAAATGGATTAATTCGCTTGGGCAAGGCGATATGTGGTCTGGCCTATGAGTGTGATATCTGCGTGTGTGTGTGTGTGCCGAGTGTGTGAGTGAGTGAGTGTGTATACTGTTGTTTTTTGGGGTCAAAAGCGAATGTGCTGTAGAAAAAAGTGCAGAAACATGGACCAGGCCGCACAGCGAATACTCTGTTATAGATATAGGATCACGTCTGATTGCACTTTGTATATAACTAATTTATATAGACCTTTCTCTTTTAATGAAGCTAATTACTTATGCCAAATACTAAAGCTTCAACAGGCTTATGCAATTGTTATACTTGCTTTCACTCTATGCTTTACATACTCTATAAATACTCTGTCTCTATAGATACTCTCTCATAAGTAAAACGAAATTTGAATTGCTAAAGCATAACGTATGTGGCTCATAGGCTCTCTGTTATATTTCATCATGGGATAGCTGCCTCGTAAAGTTCCTTTCGAGCTGAAAAATTATCGGCAATTATACAAAATCTCGTTTTAATGCCAACACGACTTGATATGCAATATGCCCCACAGATACGACATACGATAGGCTTGTCAGCTGAAAACTGTCGCTGGGCGGGCAGCGTTGCAGCTGGACAATTCATTGGCATGGAAATCTCTGCTTTTAGTTAATTTTCCGGTTCAAACGTTATCCTGCCGACTAATCCGTGTCGTCGTTCAGTGCGTCCTGCCAGCCAGCCTGCAGCACAGGTTGACATTTACATTTTTGGTCAGAACACAAAAAAAAAACAAGAAGAAGAGAAGCACAAATGAAGCCTCACAGCGGGTCATGTCCTGCAGCCTGCTGGTAGCTACATTTTTTTTCTGTGTAGCTGCTGTTCCCGTGTCACGCTTACATGAGGATTATAGTTTGGGGTTGGTTCGCTGTAGGACAGGCAGCACGGGCAGCTCGGGCAGCACAGTTCGAACTGTAGCTTTGATTCGACAGTTGACATATTTCGGGCATGCCCCGGGCCTCTTGAAATATACAGCTAATTTTTTTCGTTGTTATACGGAGAACACTGATTTTTTTTGCACTTTTATTGGGGTCATATGCATGTCGGGGTACGGACAGTAAAAATACTTAAAATGTAAATAAAAATAGATTAAATAATATTAATAAATAACATTTCGCTTAACGCAACCAAATAAAATATACAAAACTTTATATATTTTGGGGCTTGGACAATTGTGGCTCGCGGGGCGTATGCGTAATATGCGTGTTCAGTTTTCATTTTGTATTCGTTGTTTATGTTGTTTGCTGTTGTAAGAACTTGTTGTCTGTGTGTGTGTAAAATAACAACATTTAATAAAAGATTTAGGCATAAATACGAGTACATAGTTAGGCATAAAGTAAGTTTTTTATGTGGTTTGGGGGTTGGGGTTCGGCATATTAAAGTTGAGGACTGAACAGACTCGAGTGGAAATTGGATTTATGATAAAATATATATTTGAATTGTTTTCCACTCAAGGACTGGCAACATGCATAAATAACCCCAATTCAGTTGGTATATATATACATAATATAGATAGTCTAGGGACAGCTTCTATAGAGGGGTTCAGGTTTACACACAAAATATAAACAAAAGCATAGACTATAATATATATAGATAGTTTATAGACCGGTTATAGCGAGTTATGGTAAGGGTAAATATTATAGGTAACAGCTAGCTGGGGATTTGATATAATTCTTGGGAATTCAGTTTGGTATATAGATTGTGATTTAACTTGATGATAATGTAAGAAAAGGTATCTTTTTTATATTTAATTTAGAGCAGCGCTGCATCGGCCATACACGTATCACTTGGAGTGTGACGAGAGAATCGGTTTGGTTACATGAGAAGCTCTGATTCGAGCTTAAAGAACATATAAATTTAGAACAATTTTAGGTGAAACAAAATTTGAATAGACAAAAATTTGGATCGATTTTGTTGCATTATCAAAACAAGATTTATAAAATAAAATAAAAGAGAGAGAGAGAGAGAGAATGAGAATTACACTCTAAAGTTAATATGGCAAATGATGTGGTATATAAATAAATATATATATATTCAACTAATTGCTAGTATATAATTAATTAACTACAAGCTGTAAGCACAACCGGGGCAACATTTAACGAGCCATTTAATCATAATAACAAAATTGGCATTTTTATATGCATTTAAAACGTCCAGGGCAGGTGCAACAATATGTAGGTAGGTATATAAATACATATATATTTAATTTTATATATGCTTACATTCTTTTTGGCTGAAGCTCATAATCATATTAAGCCTGCGCCCATAAATAAAATTATGCGATGTCCTGGTTAAATGCGCGTGAGCGCGAAAGAGACAGACAAAACGGGCAGCCAACAAGGCCTCTGTGTGTGTGTGCGTGTTGATGCAATTTCAAAGGACAATTTGATACAATAATCACGTTTGTCGTGCCTGGTCTGGGGCTCGATTGAATTACGCTTAAAATGCTGCAACAATTTTTCACTTTATGCGATATTATGCTGCAATTATGTGTGTCATGTTTGGAGCTGGCTATGGGGCAGGGGGCGAACCCAACAGCCAGATGAAGGAGCCCTGCTACGACTCGACGTTTATGTTGTTGCTGTTGTTGCTGCGCAGCGTCAAATAAATTTTCAGCCAAAAGCAATTAAGTCGCGAATTAAGTGCGGCGCATAGGCAGGACCCCATGGACGAGGCAGGACCCGAGCAAACACACACACATACAGAGGCACATGTGAGAGTTGGGCAATCACGAACGTGCGCCCACGTGTGTGTGTGTGTGTGTGTATGTGTGTTTGGCTGGCTGACTGCTGCGTGCTCAAAGTTTTAACGCGTTGTAATAAATGTTAATTTTCCCCAACGAAAATCAACATTTATGGCGTGTTTTATGTGCAGCTTCAACATATTTTCCATGTTGTTGAATGCCAATCCCTGTCAGTTCCTGTCTCTCTCTCTCTGTGTGTGTGTGTTTGTGGGATTATGAGCTTGGCACACACACACACATACAAACAATGTTTATTGGTGTGCGTGTGTGCTGCTATTTTCTTGCGTAAAGTCAAATTGTTTAAAATGTAATTTTTGGGGCATTTTATTTGTTTATTTATTGAACATCTTACGAAAATGTGCGCTTAAATGCCCACAAAATAGCAGAGTAAGCAGCTAAGCTAGTATTAAAATTGATTTAACATTTCTAGAAACATATGAAATATGTTTGTAATTTCACTTTCGAGTCAATTCTACTTAACATGTTGCTAAATTACAAAATTTTCATTTGAATAGTTCCAAAACTTAATTTACAAATTATGTTGATAGGAAAACTTTTCAATTATTTAAAGCCGAACTCAAAAGGGAAAAGTTTTAAAGTTGCACTCGATTATGGCAAACGCATTTAACGCCGCCTAAATGAGTTTTTAATTAAGCATTAAGCTCTATGTGTGCATTATGAAATTTATACACTTGATTAAATTTGAATTACAACTGCAAATTACACATGAAATAGCTTTTCGAATTTCGACCTGAAGTGCGGGTGGTTGTACCACAATTTAAATAGAGCTTTAGCTGAATCAAATATCATAATTTATATATTTATTTTTTTTTTCTATTTATATATTCGTGTGTGTCTCTGTGTGTGTGGAGTAAATTTGCAGTTATTTATTTGCTGTTGTGCTTAGGTTTGCATAAAGTTAATTAAATCGTTTACATGCAGCATTACGTTTTCATCGAATTTTGCTTTTAATAAACACAAGGGATGAGAGTGTATAGAAATAACATGCAGTTAACATAGGGTTAACAGCTTTTTAACAGTCTTTATTCAAAGCAAATTTTCCACGAAAACTTAAGTTCTAAAACTAATTTGTCTATATTTTCGGTATATATATATACGAAACGAGAGAGAAAGGAGTAAAAAATTATTTGCATTCTTTGTGTTGTGTGAACGTTTCTTGGTGCGGGAGTAAAAGTGTTTCGTTTGGTTTATCTTTGTTCAAGTGAAACACAAAATATTATGAATTGCTCTATTAGGCAACAAATTGAGGAAAATTATTAATTTCAAAGAAAAACTGACTTGACTAAGCAGAAATTAATAGCGAGACTTGAGCAGCTGGCGCAAAAAAATAGAAAAAGAAAATAAAAATATGGAAAAATAAGAACATTTTGCGACTCATAAAGAAAATGCAAAATACTTAGCTGTCTCTCTCGCTCTCTGTCACTATATGAGTGTGAGAGAGAGAGAGAGGCAGCAATGGTATGGGGTTAGGCTGTGGGTTAGCTGGATTGGTTTCTGGGCTGGGTTGGGTATATTTTTTGTTTTGGTTTTTTTAAAGAAAGAGAAAGTATAAAAAGTAAATATAGAAATAGCCATACCGCAGCTGTAGCAGCGACAGCGGTGGCGCGTGTTTGGGCCGCTTTTAATTGTGCCTGTAGGTGCAGGGGGGGATGAAAGTAGCGGCAGGGGTCACGTGCGCATCTGCCCTTCACGGCGTCCATGCAAACCGTTATGGAACCATCGTCGTGCCGCGCGACGCTCTCCTGCGGATGCGCGAACCGGCATTCCGACTCGGCCCGTTTGCAGGCGCCGCGCAAGAATTCGCGACAGACCTGGAAACACATTTTTAGGTTTTTTGTTTTTTTTTTTTGGATTTGGTATTTTTTTTTGGATACGGCGTTGTATTTTGGATTTGTAGTTGTTGTTGAGGTGGTTGATGTTGTTGTTTGTTGTTTGTTGTGTTGGTTGCACAGTTGATTGCAGATTGCGGATTGCAGATTGTTTGTTGTAGTAGCAGTAGTTGTTGTTGGTTGTTGTTGTTGGTTGTTGGTTGTTGGTTGTTGTTGGCGGGCAGCAATAGCAAAAGTGGCAGCAGTTGTGGTTCATAGTGTTTGTGGTGTGTGTGTGTGGTGTGTATATAAAAGGCGAAGTGTTGTTGTTTATATTTCGTAATCAATTTTTTTTTTGCAGATTTGGTGTGTGTGTGTGTTGTGTGTATTGGAAATAATGGAAGGATATTCAGTAACGGTTCAGTTTTTTAAATTGCTGTAGTTGTTGTTGTTTTTGTTTACTTCAAAAGTAAAGTTAAGTAGGCGAAACGCAACAACTTTCAATGCATTTGGTATTTTTTGGGTGTTAGAGCCGATTTGTTGTTGTTGTTGTTGTAATTGGTGTTGCAGCGCATGCTTCCATATGCATGTAGTATATATGTTAGGTATATAGATCGATACATACACATACACATATATGCTAGGGTTTTAGTTTTTCCCAATCTGAACGTTGGGCAGCAGCTTTGGCATTGACTAACTTTCATTTCAGTTAAGTTCTTGCCACATTTTGTTATTTTTTAGCGAGCCGATTAGTTGTTTTTTGTAAGTTTTGCAGTTGAGAACAACAGAGGAACACAATAAACGAAAAAAAACAAGGCAAATGCATGGATTAAACTAAAATATTTTTAAAGCTACAACCTGTTGAGGATCGATAAACAAAACTTGTGGAGATAATCCTAAGGGAAAGATGTGAGAAAATTCACGATTTCAGCTATTAAACTTTTTTACTGGAAAGTAAAAAGATGAACTCTATTTCCAAAAGGTAACCTAATCAATTCAAAGTTCTAAGAATATGTAAGGCTTGAAACAATGTTAACTAACATTGAAGTTAACATTCTAGTTAGCATATATCCTATATAGAAAAATAATATTTATATAAGAAAAAAACAAATTGAGTTTTATGAACTTCTAACAGATCTAGATCTGTTTAACTAAGATTTTTAAAATGTAGAAAAATTTATAAAAAATCTTCATATTTTGAACTAAACTAAATTCAGCTATTCAAAAACTTATTCTAACTAAGAAAAAAAACCAAAAATGATGTATTATTCATTAAAGGATTTGTGCACAGAATCGTAAATTTATATATTTGTTGTATTTTGTTGCTTTATTTACAAAGGCACTGGGAAGAAAATATATATTTTGAAAGCGCTTGTCGTAAGCTTTGCAGGATAGCAGCTTCGCTTTGATGTTTAATAACCAAAACTGTGCCAGACTTCTGACACCTGAGTAAATCGCTCAGGTGTACAAGATTGTATCACATAGAAACCCAAAACAAAAAACAGACTATGGTACTATATGTTATATATATATGTATATATCATATGTCAAAATCAAAATGAAGAGTAAAGCATTATATCAGACATAAGAATAAGTAGAACGAACGATCTTCTTTTTTGTTTTTGTTAGACAAAAGTTCAAGTCTTCAAATACGAATGTGTGTCAACGAGATCAAATCAATTTTCATTATCAGCGAATTGTTAATTATTATTTTTCGTTATAATTTTATATAATTATTATGTTTTTTTGGCAGAACTGAAGAGAACTTAAAACACTGTACATGGTTTTTAGTTGCAATATCTTTGATACATAGTTAAAAATATTAGGTCTTATAAGAAGAAATACATAATAATAATAATAATAATAATAGTAATAATAATAAATAAGGAAATCAACAAATTGGCATGCGATAAAAATAATGAAACCAAAATATCGAAACAAGTCAAAAGAAAATCGTTTCTCTTGGCATTGTGTACAAAAGTATTACGATAAAACAATAAACGATAAACACAATAAACGTAAGCATAAATTAAAGCATATTTCACATATAAATGCGCCATTTCATTGGCCAATGGTCAATGAATACAAATTTGTCTAAGGCAATTGACACTCACCTCTAATCTGTCGGAGCGTGGAATTTTCTGTTGTGCCACCTGTACGGTCTGTGGCACCACCGGGCCCAGCTGTGAGGCAACGGCCGTCGGATCGGGTCCCAGCAAAGTAGGCACTAAGTGTCCGGTTGCATAGTAAGGACTGTATGTATTGGCTGGTATGCCAGTCAAGTAGGGATTTGCGGCCTGTACAAATGACATAAGAGAATCAAATATTTAATACATTCTGTCAATGGACAACTATCAATCAGCTGTTAATCAGTCAAATAAAACGTTTGGCTTCCATGAATCCAATTGGAATCTTATAAATAGATTTCAACTGTATTTAATATGACACCAAGTGAGAAGAGCTTAAAGCTGTTGTTTTTACTTACTTATTAAAGCGTTCAATGCATACGTTTCAGTGATTAAGATTACTTTGTTTTTAAATAAGCTTACATAGTTACATGAAGCTTTTTCGCTTTTTTTTTTAAAGAGTTTAAAGTTTCTACCTTTACTTGGTGCTGTGAAACTTTTGAAAAATATTCCTCATGAGAAAATGATTAAGAAGCGCTTTATTCGTCTTCTAACCGTAGTCTTAAATATAGTTATCTTTATTCGAAAGAGAATTGATTTTATTCTCACCTTCCGGATTAATCTAAGTTAAGAGTAAGTTCAAGAGTAAGTTAAGCTTTAATAATAATAAAAAATGATAGGAAGTGCTTAAATTAAAATAAAAGCCCTGGAATAATTTTAACATACTCTGTTCACAGCTGGCGACAACGAAAACCTTCAGTAAGAATAGTCAGAGAATTAATCAACAGCTTTAAATTCAGAGTAAACTGATTTCCTCTTATATCGATCTATTACATAAACAACTCTACCAAAGACAGAACTAGCTTCTTTCTGAACTCCATTCGATAACTCTTTTCTTTGCTTTTAAAGCTATGCGCTGTATTTTCCTAGGGCTTTACAGAAAAGTATTGAAATAGATCAATTTAATTTATTTCTTTTAAATAATACTCTTTTAGACAATTGCTTTTAAATATGCTTTTAAATTATATATCATAGATTCATTTAAAAATCAAAGCTAATATCATTAAGTTCTGAGTTAATCCTATGATAGCCACACGCATGCTTATTACTTTCGCTTAGGGTTCATAAATTGTTAATGAAATATCGTGTCAAGGCCCCATCGCGAGCACTTATTACAGCTAAGCATTTAGTCCACTTAAGTTTAAAGAATATCCTATTGTGGCACCCGCCCACCTAGTGCTCAGCCACGTTAATGAAGCCTCATGCATTTTTGAGCACACATTTCAATGTCGAACAGCGTTTGCGGCTAATGGGCGCTTTCGTTTAGGAGGCCATGTTTGAAAATAATTTGAGAATTAAATTTCGATTTGTTAGAAAGTGTGGCGTAAAAGAGAAAAAGTGCCAAGTGCTGCTGCCCCATTGGCATGAATAATGCATGCGCCAGGCGAACCGGGCAAAAACTGACTCAAATTTCTTATATAAGTATATATATTCGTATATTCGTCTATTCGCCGCTGCGCCTGTTCGCGTTGCTCGCCCTTGCCCTCGCCCTTGCCCCCGCCTTTGGGTGCTACTCATTTTCGCGCATTTAACATTTGCGGCCGGGGCGAAGGACGCGATTCTGTGTTATTCAAAGTCATGAAGCAGGGAGAAGGCAAATGGAAATTGAAGTGGGATATCCGCTTATAAATATTCATATAGCACAAAATTGTTAGTCGACGGCAGTCGGTAGTTGTCTGCGGCGCTGGGCCACACAGTTTGGTAGCGCTTAGGATATTCAATTAAAGTATTATGCGGCTTTTCGGGCAGCGCGCAAGTACTTACCACGGCTGGCACTTGGCCCGATATGACCGGCTGGCCGGGCGCTATGCCCATTTGTTGCATCAGTGCATTCTTGAGTGCCAGATGATTGCGTCCGTTTATCAACAGCTGATCCTTCAGATGCTGTGGTGGATGAAAGTATTTGCACGGCGGTTTGTCACGATTACAACGTCCCTGGAAAAAGCGAAAAATAATTTTTATAGTTCTTGTTTATAAAATACATTAGAATTAGCCTTTGAAACAATAGCTATGGAGTTATTTATCTTGAAATAACTCAGCTATAGACGAGACTCATTCTGGGATTGTCACTGTTAAGAGCCACGCCAAGGCTCGGTACGCTATGAGCCAAATTAATGTTCACCTGCGTGGCCTGCATGTGCGCGTTGCCAGCTGCATATATTATGCGCAACAGTGTTGAATAACGTCAATATAAATATAAATAAATATAAATTTAACTGTATTTTCATTGTGTTTCAATAAATTACGATGTAGCTTTGATCTCTTAAGGTTGATTTACTTCATGGCTAACAGGCGAAGTAGAAATAAAACAAATGTGTTTTTAGCAGAGATGCAATAAAAGGGAATTCATTAGAAAATAACATTAGAAAAGACATTTTCTATTCAAATAAGACTCAGAATCTGCCAATTGAACACATTGAACCTTGATTTTTCCTGTAACATATTGAATATTGTAGCATAGCAAGATTCGATATGTAGTATGAGTTAATACATATATGTTTGATCTATAAAAGAAATCTGATTACCTCAATGCAGTCAAATGACGCATTGCTGTCGTGCTGTCATGTCATAATTTCAAATATAGAAATTCAAAAAAAAAGGAGAAAAGAAAAACAATTAACTGCACGTAATGTGAAAATGTTCACCACTGCAGGTATGCAATCAAGCAGTGTGCATCTGTGTTGGGGCATGCAACAAAAAGCCAACACAACGAGCACAATGGAAAAAGTCAAACAAACCTCATATTAAATCGATAAAAAGTAATTTCGCATCATTAGTAGGTGTAATTATAGCTGCGGATTAAGCCGCCGAATCATCAAGCACCTTTACATACGTTTTTTGCTTTACTTTTTTGAGTGCTGGCCTAAATGTCAACAATAATTATAATGAGTTCGGGCTAATGCCCCAGGGAAATTTCTGCCTGGAGTGCTGCATGCAACGTGGCATGCAGAAAAAAGATTTAATACAATTTGAGCGAGTGTGCGTGGCGAATTGGGTGCCCAGACTGTCAAACAAATATGCATGTAAATTATATTTAATTCAGAGCAAATGAAGTTAACAAATATTTACATATGCCCAGGCGAACAGAGCCGCCTATGCCCACGCCCACGCCCACGCCCATGGCCAGGTCCTTTGTCCGCGCCAGCGCAAATATTAAAAAACAAAAAATAATAAAAGGAAACGAAAAGCATGCAAAATATTTATATGTATGCATAAATTGATTGTTTGCCTGGGCACGAAACAGGGGCACGTAGTTCACAATTTTCACTTTTTTGCCTTGTTCGTTTTTCTTTTTTTCTTCTTTTTGTTGCCATTCACAATTTATGACGCAATGAAAGCTCTGCAAGATTTATGGCGTGAACAAAATAAAAGAGAGTGAGAGAGAGAAAACTCTCCCAGCCGCTAACTTTCATATAATTGTTGTTAAAAAAAAAACTATACACTGTGCGCGCACACTTTTGCAAAATTTTATTCACTGTTGATGTTATTTGGCAAATAACACGAATTGCAAAAATACTTGCGCAAATATTTGTTTGCATATTTCTCAATGCCAATTCAGCTTGACAAATGTTCAGCGAATGCATAAAAAATATGTAGCAGAAACAGAAGGCTGCCGATTGAGCCGATCGACTAAGAGGTGCCCTGTAGAAGTGATCGATATGTTTTACACATAGAGAATTCATCGATCTAGCTTAACAACTGCTTAGTTTATATTTTGAGTATTGCTCAGTTTCAGATTGAAGGTAAAATAAAGGAAAATGAACGTAATTAAATATTAATAATACATGATCGATCTTTATTACATCACAGAACTTATTTTAAGTATTCTTCAATTCTCTCTCCCTTTATTAAGTTTGTAAGCTCAGCTCTTACATGCCCAACCTTGTTTGTCTGTGCAGGGTATAAATGGATTTTAAAAGCACTTTTTTTGTTTCATAAAATAAATTTAATCCAATTTGTGTGCAGTGAATAAAATGCATTTTGATAGTCCAACGGATTTGCTTTAGTCTATTATATTGCGCGCATTAAAAAAAAAAAAAAAACAAATTTGTTGCCAATTAATTAGCTCAATTATTTGTCGCCCACAAACCTGAAATATTTGTGAGCCAAACAATAATTTGCATTCAATTTGCTGTTGCTGATGATGATGATGATTTGCAATTTTGATCAATACACAAAATATTTATTGACGGCAGACAAACAATTTTCTTTGCACATCAATTTACGAGCTGCGAACTGCGAACTGCGAGTCGTGCAGCAGCAGCCTGAAAGCAGGCAACATGCGGGCTGGGCTGGCTTCAAAGGCAACAGCGAAACCCGTTCGATGCTTCGCACAGGCACTTTTGGCTTATTTGTTTGTGCTTATTGGCGCCATTGGCTGTAATTTAATGCTTGGATTGAGTTTATTCAACAACGGCAACAGCAGCAGCAGCAGCAGTAATAACATCAACAGCAACAGCAATAGCGAAAGATTCAATGACAGCAGACAGTCGCATCTGCGTTTGCATTTGTATCTATACGTTCCTCTCTCTCTCTCTCTCTCTCTCTCTTCCTCGCTGTTGCTGTTTATAGCCCTCTCTTCTCTCCTGTAAATTTCACTGTTTGCCGCTTGATTTTAACTGCTTTTACAAATTGTCTATTGGCCACTCCCCTCTCCTGCTGTAGACCCAGGCTCAGCAGCGCAGGCTCTTGCTCTAATTTCCAATAATTAAATACAAATGTGATTTTTTAGTGTCTCGCCTGGCACTTGCCCGTTGCTGCAGAGTTACTTGTTGCCATCGCTTGTGTTGACGTGCTTCGTATCTAGGTTAATTGCCGTAGATTGGCAGGCAACCGTTGCCATGAAGCGTCGACCATGCGATTCTGCCCGATTTGGTTACGAGTCGATCAAATAGGTCAGTTGACTGGCTAAATGTGCAGGCGACGGGCTCTGTTTGAATGCTACATGTGATAGCTAATCGATGCGGCTCTTACACAGCTAAATAAAGCTGGTTATTTACGCTTTTTAAAGAACGTTGCGTGGTAATATTTGCATATGGCTGCTTGTGTGTAGCTAAATGACGTCAATTATGCTTCTCTTTTGCAGCTTTAAACCTTTAAGCTTTAACTAAGTTGTGTGAGGAATTTTATGATTCTCAAATAAAATTGAATAGAGTAAAAGAGACAGATGCGACTTGCCATAAAGAAACAATATTCCTAGAAATAAAATTCAATTTAAAAGGAATATTGAAAATTGACGAAGTCAAAGCTTGAGCAAGGCGCTACCATCCGCAACATCATCGATTGTTAGGTTCAATGTCAAGCTCATATTTCCTAATTGAGCTTGCATCTCTTAATAAACTAATTTGTGGGCCACTTCTCAAATAAACAGAAATTGTTAAGAATTATGGCGAACTGTGGCGACATATTCGTGTGCTGCGTCTTGAAGATATTCTCAATGTCGTTTGGCAAATATTTAAATTGCATTTGGCATTGCAATCAAATAAGATATTATTCTTGCTCAGGCACACAGACACCAGCTCGAGGCGAGGCACAAGACACGAGGCACGTTCTTGCCTCTAATGGCGACGTGGCAGACATTATCTCAAATGGCAAGTGGAGCTCGTCTCGTGTGCCTCGGGTGGGGCAGGCAGGCCAATTTCTTGTTGGCTGAGTGTGCAACACATTTAGCTAGCCGATTGCTCTGTTCTGTTCTGTGTGGTGGCTGCTTCTACTTCTTTTGCTGCGCTTCTTCTCTGATTTTTTTCTCACTGCCACACCAAACATTTTCATGTCATTTCGATTGTAATCTGCATGACTGGCTCCCTCTACGCGGCCGAGACAAAAAGTGAAGAAAAAATTTAAAATGCTCCAAAACGAAGCAGGGAAAAACGAGTGTGAAAATTGCAAATGGTGTCCACTCACGCACACATAGCGAACGAGTGAGTTGCATAGAGCTTCAGCTGAAGTGCTGGAAAGAGACATACAGAGAGACGGAAAGCCGGCCAACCGGACAGCCGGACAGTGAGACGTACAGCATATTTGCATTGTGCGCGCGCTGCAATCGCGCTGTTATTCTCACTGCATTTTTATAGCAGCCACCGAGCCTCGAACCCTTTTCTAAAGAGATTTTCTTTCTGTTTTTTTTTGTTATTTTTTTTCTGCGTTGTCACCAAAGCCTTGTGCAGATTATCCGCTTTAAATTGCAATGATTACTTTTTCCCCTTATTTTACTTCTATATTTTTTGCCTTTTTTCGGCTGATATAGCTCTGGCATTGGCCTGGCATTTCAGAGCCATTTTTCTTCTTCGCTACGCTCGAAACAATGTTGCTGGCTGTCGCCGTCGTCTGGCATCCTCCTCCAGCTGTAGCGTACAGCTGCATGCGTTGTGAGTCCGTGAGGATTGTGTCCGTCGCATTGGAGGCTAAGGAATTTTTCATGTTTTCATGCCAAGTGCAAGTCAAGTCCAGTCATGTATATCGTCGCATCGTATCGCATTGCCGACATGCGTCTTGGCGGCAGACCGGCATCGAGTGAGGGCGCCCGACCAAAGGCACTCAACGACGACGACGACGACGACGTAGTCGAGGACGAGGACGAAGACGACGACGACGACGACGACAACGTTGGGTATTAAATGTCATTTTGCATTTCGTGACAAGTTGGCTAATCTGACTCGAAAGTTATTTATTTCTCCTTTGTTGAGTGCAAAGGAATTTTTCTTGCACTTTGCTAGCCCGAGCATTTTACATGGCATTTGCCGAGGGTATGCCACCCTATTTCTGTTTAGTTTTTTTCTTTGCTGCGAGTCCTTTTCAAGTTTAGCTACTTTTCTTCAATTTGGCGACGATAGAAATCGCCTTTGAATGTTAATAAAATGGATTTTTATGCAAATTTAAAACTGTTTGGCGGTTGGCTTGCTATGCATTACAAATGCCAGAGGGTTAGACCTAGA